GGTGAGAGTTGGTGACCTCATGGCGAGGCACACCGAAGAAAACACACCTTCACCAGATCAACATGTTTCATACACACACACGTCTGTAGAGGTCAGAGGTCACATCAGAGTGCTGCAGATTAGTTTAATGAAACATCACAGCAGCAGCTACATGAAACACAGATTCATGTTGTTTAAAGGTTAAAGGTTAAAGGTGATATATCCTCCTCTTCAGTGTAAATAAATCTCAGAGCTCCTCAAATCATGTGTGTGAAGTTTCTTGTTCTAAATCCACTCTGATCCTGTATTTGATCATGTCTGTAAACCCCTCTATTTCAGCCCTGCTCAGAACAGACTGTTTCTGTGTCTGTACCTTTAAATATGTAAATGAGCTGTGTCTGACCACGCCCCCTCTCTGGAAGGACTTGGGTGTACTCAGTCTTTCTCGCTCCATGTCCTATTGTTTACGGTGAGAAGGCAGACTCAGAGGGCAGAACAAACACCTAGCTGTGGGAGTGTCGCCCACCTGGGGGAGGGGCTACTTCCCTTTATGATGTCATGAAGGCAGACTTAGAGGGCTGAACCCAGATCTGAGAGGATAACACGTGACCTTTAACCTCTATGTAAGCTCTTGGAGGAAGTTTTTCTCTAGATGATTCAATCAGATAATTCTCCGTGTTAGACGACCCACTACACGCCATGACCTGCTGTGGGACTCTGAACATGTCTCCAACACGTCAAACACTGTTAGCTTAGCATCAGATGGACACACACTAGCCCGATTAAATAAACTCTCTCTGAGTCTTCTTCCTCGTTGAGGCTGAGCTGTTTTTTAGAAAACATATTTTAATTTCAGGAGACTTCCTGGATGAAATAAGGTCAGATATAAACAGCTTTTTGTTCCTTAAGGAGAAGCTTAACCGTGTGCAGAGTTGGTTTTTGGCTCCTTTTTCTGAACGCTGAGGGTTTTCGTTTTTGAGCATCGAGAATCGCTCGGATACAACAGTCCTTACTTACATAGAGGCTTTAGTATTCATATTAAGGCATGCACAATATGAGGAAAATATGCAATGTGCCTTAACATTGTCCAGTATTGCGATATAAAAGAATGAATATCAGTTCTAACTCACTGTTTTCATGTGTAGCCCCTGATCTTTGCAACTTGTTTCTCCTGAATCACAAATTAAAACCAAAGGCAGGTTTTTTTATTCACCCACTAAATTTATACCAATTAATGTGAGAGTCGCTGATAGCTAACTTAAAGGCGCAGTCTGTAACTCTGCCCCCTAGTGTTTAAAATGGGTACTGCAGTCTGAATTCTAAACATCATAGAGAGCTGTCCCCCCCCTCCTCTCTAGAGTCCATGCTCACTCAGGTCACCATGTGGTGGACTCTGAAGCTTCAGTGTTTATCCAGCTCTGCATGGGTCTGTAAACCTTTCTGTGTTCTAACCTCTCTCCATTTTTCAAAAGCATCTCCAATATTGATCCTAGTTTGAGCACGTTTCTGCTCGTGGAGCTTATTAGAAACATGCAGAGGCTTTTTAGGTCGGGTAATATCACTTCTATATGAACCAGTTCTTTCGCCCCCTCTAATCCATTCAGACTTCTGTGATGTGTTTAATACAAATGCAAATTGCGAATAACTGCTGCCTTCTTATTCACATTCAGCACTGACAGCTTTCATCAGTGATGTCTGAACTCAGAGCAGCTTTGATCTGGACCCTGTTCCTCGAGGCAGAACCTCTCAGAGTTCCTCTTCAGTTCCTGGTCCCTGAGGAAAGTACGAGACAGCAAAACCAAATAACCTCTTCTTCTAAATGAGCGGACATCTTTAAAATGAGTAAGTTGTTTGTGTGTCTTTGGTTTAAGGCTTCATGAATGAGGGACTGATTCACAGATTCTGCTGAGTGGGGGAGAGACCAACATGTCAGAATAGGTGTGGTCCTGTGTGGGGTCTCTTACCTTTTAAAAGTCTGTCAGGATTTAAAAAAAAAGGTCAGCTTTAAGGAAAAAATAAGAGGACCTAGAATGCTTCCCTGAGGAACACCACCTTCACATGTTGCTTGAACTAACCAGACTAACAAAACTCACTGGCTAATAGTTACAGAGCTGGGTTTTATGACATGGTGTGTGTGTGTGTGTGTGTGCGTGTGTGTGTATGTGTGTGGTTATTTGTGTGTGTGTGTGTGTGTGTGTGTGTGTGTGTGTGCGTGTGCATATTGCAGGTAATTAAAGATTTAAGGCATGCAGTGTCTGACCTTTCAGTGTCAGCAGGAAGTGATGCTTTATTGCATTAACGGAGAATGAACTATGGGTTTGATAAAAATAAGAAATTAATGTTTCTTCTGTCTGATGTGTGTGTCCGTGTGTGTGTGTGTTTGTGGGTCTGTAAATGACTTCATTGAACGTCTGATAATCGATTGGTCGCTCTCTGAAGATCAACAAGCAGACGACTGATTCAGTGTCTCTGTTAACAGTAAGAGTAAGAATCAGCAGTGACATCACCAGTGACATCCGACCAATCAGGACGCTGATCCAAACCTCCAAAAGTGTCCAGCTTCTTGTGCGTCAGCTCATAAAGTTAGAGTCTTCATCTTCTCCATCATCTTCACCCAGATCAACTGCTCCACCAACACTTCAGACTACTGATGGGGTAAGACTCTAAACTTCTGATTCAATCGATCGGGTCGTTTTAGATTTAATATGAATAAAAAACAGATTCTGATGTTATTTAATCTTCAGTTCAGCCGCTAAACGTCTCTAATGTTCTAGTTTGTATGAAACTCGACGACTCATCTGCTCAGGTTTGATCGGTTTCTTTATTTCTAAGGAAAAGGACAGAAAACTATAAAGAGCATAAAAGTTTAGCCTTAAAGTTCTGACAAAGAAAGATTTAAAATGTCAAAAAATATTTTTGGGCTTTTTAAGCTTTTATTTTAGAGACAGGACAGTGGATAGAGACGGAAATGAGGGAGAGAGAGAGAGAGAGAGAGAGAGAGAGGGAGAGAGAGTGGAACGACACAGGTCGGACTTGAACCCGGGTTGCCCACTCTGGAGGACTGGAGGAGCCTCTGTATATTGGGTGTGCGCACCATGAGCCTACCAGCACCTCATTTATTTTGAGGTGTTTGTGTATTTTTGAGTATGTTGGCGTGAGAAGTTTTCCCAGCAGCCCTTGGGTGTGGCCTCATCGTCTCATCTGATTAAACTGGATTTTGACTCAGTAGTAAAAATCTGTTTCTGTTCAGCTGGAAACTTTCTATTAGAACAGTTTCCTGTTTAAACATTTAGTCTTTCAATGTGATTGAATCATTTTGACATCTCAGTTCTTACAGTTTGCTGCCTTCACTTCTTCAACTGTCAGGAGATTGTAGTTCTCAGTTTGGTCTTTAATTATTGAAGTACGAACTTTTGGTCAATGTTGAACATTTCTGCCGTGTGTGCAATACGCGCGCACACACACACACACACACACACACACACAAACACACACACACACACACACACACACAAACACACACACACACACACACACACACACACACACACACACACACACACACACACACACACACACACACACACACACACACACACACACACACACTGTGCTGCCTTGTTAGACTTTAAAGGTCCAGTCAGTGAGCTGTGTAGAGAGTGAGATGATAAAGGTATCTTACTCTCTGATCATTAAGGAAACATGCTATGTTGAAGTGCTGGCTTCTCTGACAACAATGCAGCAGCCAGTATGTCCTCCTTCTAACTTTAGATTCTGCTCCTGAATGCTCTGGATTTGTTTGGACCAGAGAAGGTAGGCGCTTTTAAGACAACCCCAGACGGCCGTTTTGGACGCCCCTCGGTTTGTCAGATATGAGAGCAGTTATCAGGTCAACAGGTGTTGCAGCGATGGAAGAGGTCAAGAGAAGTGGTTCAGATAGAAGTGATTGTACCCGACCTAAAAAGCCTCTGCATGTTTCTAATAAGCTCCACGAGCAGAAACGTGCTCAAACTAGGATCAATATTGGAGATGCTTTTGAAAAATGGAGAGAGGTTAGAACACAGAAAGGTTTACAGACCCATGCAGAGCTGGATAAACACTGAAGCTTCAGAGTCCACCACATGGTGACCTGAGTGAGCATCCACTCTAGAGAGGAGGAGGGGGAGACAGCTCTCTATGATGTTTAGAATTTAGACTGCAGTACCCATTTCAACCATTAGGAGTCAGAGCTACAGACTGCTCTAGTGTATATTTGCATTAATAAGAAAACACTGTAATCTGAGTTACTGATATGTTCTGATGGAGTAAAATGTGTTTGAATCCAGAACTTGAGTAGTGCAGAGGCTGACGGGCGTCATTGGGTCCAACATGTGATTTGGGCCCAATCAGAGGACACAACATAAACTTGAGAAGTCATGAGATTAAAGGAGTTTAAGGTTCATGGTTTAAAATGTTCCTCTGTCTTTTTAGTGGTGACATTAATAATGAATTTTTCATAATCAGTAGTCAAACATGTTCATGTCTGTGTTGATCTATGAGGACATGTTGAAGACAAACCTTCTCGTCTTTGAGAGATGAATTGATTCCTTCAGAACTGTTCATCTGAGATGTTTTGTTTTGACTTCCATGACGTATGTGAGCCTCTGAAAGGACTTTATAATAAGTACACTGTAAAAACACTTTGACACGGCTCATTGAGGTGGTAATAACTGATTATGTGCCGCCCTCTGATTACAGAGATTCATCAGAAACAGACTGAATGAGAGGTTTGTGTTGTGTGTCTGAGCTGCGGTGAGTTTGACAGTCAGATTAAAAGATGGCTTCCTCTCCCCTCCTCGCAGGGGGAGGCTGATTTTCATGCTGGTTGGATGTGAACAGTCGTGATCTTTGTGGAGGTGCAGCAGCTGACTGCCTCATGCTCCACCGAACGCTCACTTCAAAAACAGGAATGAAAGAGTCACATTGAGTCTGACCTCTGATTTCTCTTCTGTTTGTTTCTGCTCAGACTCGGAGAAGGAGACATGACGGATCATCAAGAGGTGAGCTCACAAAACTACGACAAAAAACTACAACTCTCAACAATATCTCAACACAGATCTACAACCAAAAACATCCAAAACTCAAACTAATATCTGAATAACAAAAACTACAACGATTAAACAAAACTACAATATATACCTAAAAACTACAACAACCAAAAACTTCCAAATCAAAAACTACAACAATAGTAAATATCCTGTTCATTTTCTCCATACTTGATTAGTATCCATGATGTCATAACCATCACAGGTCGACTGACCACGAGCTACCTGAGTGTGTAAACGATGGTTTATGTTCCTGTAGGAGACACAAGTTCTTATGATGTCACCTCATTTAAAGAACAACGCAGTTTATTCACGATATCGTGGAAAAGAACTACACTACCCAAGATCATAGAGTGTCACAGCAACAACTCTGATTGGTGGAGCTCGCTGTTGCCATGGCAACGTTTCACATTCCTGGGCGCCGAATGTGAACGGATAGTTTTGCTAGCAGGCTAGCTAGTTAGTTAGCTAACACTACACATGCTAATAACCTTGCTCTGTGAATGTAGTTTAAATCACACAAACTACAACATGTTACAAAACGATAACAACGACTAAAGATACATTTAAGAAGAGGGAGTGTTCGCAATGGATTATGGGATCTGTAGTTCCTTGGTTCCTGTCTTGTATCTTAGCCTTTTTCTCAGTTTTTTAACGCCATTTTGACTCCGAAAGAAAAACTACAGCCAACAACATGAGACCCAAATGACAAAACACAACTTCTGAATAAAAAAACTACAACAACTTAACAACAAATAACCGTGAAAACCAACAAACTACAACCAACAATAACAGAACCAAACTACAACAAAATATTTCTGAATAAGAACTACAACAACACCTGAACAAAACTACAAAACACCAACATCAGAATAAAAACAGTTCCAACCAAAATCTACAACTTCCAGAAAACTCTTAACAAAGAACTACAATGACCAAAGTTTTTTAAAACAAAACCTACAACAACCAACAACCATCTGGGCAAAATAGTAAAACCCCAATCAACAACATCCGTTAGCATACTTTAAGAATCCTCCGCAAAGCGTCTGAGTTAACGGTGTGTTTTTAAAGAGGTCCTCTTGGTTTTTCAGAATAGCGCCGTGCTCAGGGTTTCCCGCCTTCCTCTGGTTCGCTCTGCCTTACAGTCGATGACATCAGCATACTCTGAGGTCAAAGGTCGGTACCCTTTTCTGGGTCTGATGGGAGGCGTGGCCGAGGTCAGCGTCCGCCGGGTCTCGAACGTGGCCATGAGACAAGCCACGCCCCTCCTCCAGAGTCTGGAGCCGCAGAGTACGTAGATACTACTGATGATACTTATATCACTGCTATTAGTGCTAATGCTGTTAATGCTAATACTGCTAATGCTATTACTGTTACTTCTATGAATGCTAATGCTAATACTGCTAATGCTATTACTGTTACTTCTATGAATGCTAATACTGCTAATGCTACTACTATGAATGCTGATACTGCTAATGCTAATACTGTTACTTATATTAGTGCTAATGCTGCTAATGCTACTACTATGAATACTAATGCTGCTAATACTAATACTGCTAATGTTATTACTGTTATTTATATGAATGCTAATGCTGCTAATGCTAATACTGCTAATGCTACTACTGCTACAACTATGAGTGCTAATACTGCTAATGCTACTACTGCTACAACTATGAGTGCTAATACTGCTAATGCTAATACTGTTACTACTATTAGTGCTAATGCTGCTAATATTGCTAATGCTAAAACTGATTACTACTGTTATTATAACTGCTAATGCTGCTAATGCTGCTAATGTAACTACTTACAATGCTAATACCTTTACTGTCAATCCTGCTGCTAAAGTTCTGCTAATTACTCTGATGCTATGCTAATAATGCTAAAGTAACCACTTTGAACACTTCTCCTGTTGATGCCTCTGATGCTGGATGATGATTGGCTGTCTGTCTCATGTTTATGTTTCCGTCTCTCTCCAGTTGAAGTTGCTAACAGTTTTGCTCTGGTTGGCCTCGAGCGTCTGGAGAAAAACTTCCCATTCCTGAACCAATCAACAGACGAGGTTTGTCCTCGATCACGATAACACAAACTAAACAACGCTGATGTAAGCCGAGGTAGACCAGCAGCTCTTGAGTTCTGAGAGGCTAAATGACTGTTTATGTTGATGGAGTTTTTAACGCCTTAAAACCGCCTACCTTCTCTGGTCCAGACTAATTCAGAGCATTCAGGATCTACTAAATCTTATCTCACTGATTGATCCTTTAAATCTGTGTTTGTGATGTTGAACCTGCTGACCAGGTGTTGTTCCCTCCCCCCTCAGGTGATGGGTCACCTGAAGGACGCCTTCTTCCTGACGCTGGACGACGTGCAGCTGTGGGTGGTGGACGGTCTTGACGGTGCTCTGGATCAGCTGGAGCGTCTGTCCGACTCTGCGTGGGACGCGGTCCGGGTGCTGCAGGAGACTCAGGTGGGCCGAGCTGCCACAGTGGGACTGGACGACGTTCTGACTCGCCTGGAGGACGCCACGGCCTACTACCTGCCCCTCCCCGCCACGCTGCGTGAGTACAGAGGCATGCTGGGTACAAATTCTGCTCTCTTTCTGGTCTTTGTGGTCATGATGTCGTCAATTGTGTTGTGCACCTGCAGGGGGAGCTGTCGGTCCTCTGATCACACATCCTACATCCAAAATGAAATATAGAAGACGTTTATGTTTGTTTCTTTGTGTCTGAGATCACGGTGACATTTTATAAACAAACACATGTTCGGGGAGGTGAGGAGGAAACTCTGCAACTCCTCCCTCGCTCTCTGTGAGCACGTTAATGTTGGTCAGGTTTCTGAAAGAGTGAAATCGTGTCTGTCTTTGTGGTGTTTTCTGCGGCCGCTCAGGTCAGGAGTGGGAGATGAGGGTGCAGGAGTACGAGGATGAAGACGAGGATGAAGAGCCCAGCCTGTGGACGAGGGTCCGCAGCCTCCTGCTGAGTCTCAGCCTGCAGCTCTACCACCGCCTGATGAAGGTCAGAGAGCAGCTGCAGGCAGCCGCCCGGACACTGGGGGGCGCTGCAGACACGGTGAGAGGACACACTGCAGCAGACACAAACAGACTAACAAAGACCGAGCTGAGGGCTTATAACACACCTTACTGTTAACACCTGAAACTCCGCCCCTCTCCTCCTCCTCCTCCAATCACCTTGTTAAGAACAGAAACACAAAATTAACTGCACAGACTTTTAGATTCATCATCATCATGGTCCTAGGTCTCTAACTAGACTCTTCTCCTCTGTCTCCCCCTGGTGGTGGAACATACCACTACTCTCCACAATTTTAATTCTTTTAGATCTTAGCGCAGCTTTTGATACTGTTGATCACACAATTTTAACTGATCGTCTCAGACATTGGGTTGGTTTAAAGGATACTGCACTTAGCTGGTTTTACTCTTATCTTTTAGAAAGAACCTTCGCGGTCACCATCGGTAACTACTCCTCCTCTACCTCTAACATTACCTGTGGTGTACCGCAAGGTTCGGTTTTAGGTCCCATTTTATTCTCCATTTATATGCTGCCTCTTGGCCAAATAATTGAACGCCACAATGTCTCCTTTCACTGCTACGCAGACGACACACAGATATACCTTCCTTTGAGACCTGAGGACCCTAGGAGCCTAGCTGCTGTCAGAAACTGCCGAAACGATATCAACTGCTGGATGGCGCAAAACTTTCTCCAACTGAACAATTCTAAATCTGAAATCATAGTATTCAACCCGCCAAACACCACTCATATCTCAAAGAGCAGCCTCGGTCCCTTATTCACCAATGTCCAAACCACCGCCAGAAATCTAGGAATAATATTCGATTGCAATCTCACCTTTGAATCCCATATCAAAACAGTTGTCCGATCAAGCTTCTTCCATCTACGCACCATCTCCAAAATTAAAACAATCCTAACCCAACGAGACCTTGAAAAGATCATCCACGCCCTCATCTTCTCCCGACTTGACTACTGTAACTCCCTCTTTTCCGGAATCACAAATAAGTCACTGTCTCGCCTCCAGCTGGTCCAAAATGCAGCAGCTAGGCTTCTTACTGGTTGTAACAGACGACATCACATCACTCCAATTTTAGCTTCATTACACTGGCTTCCTGTACGTTCTAGAATCGATTTTAAGATTTTACTCATTACTTTTAAAGCACGGACGGGGCTGGCTCCAAGCTATATAACAGAGTTACTGACACCATATGAGCCAGCCCGCAGTCTTAGATCCTCGGGTGGGAGCCTCCTGGTCGTTCCAAAGTCGAGACTTAAAACTAAAGGTGACCGGGCCTTTTCAGTCAGGGCCCCTCGACTTTGGAACGACCTCCCTGAGGAGATAAGACTTGCAGATTCCCTCAATTCTTTTAAATCCCTTCTTAAAACATACTTTTACAGACTTGCTTTTATGTGATGTCGTCTTCTTAATATCTTCTCTTACTGGTTTTACTATTTTTATCTTCTTCTACTTCTTACTGTCTTTTATTTATGGTCTTATCTCGTATTTATGCTCATATCTTAATCTCCTCTTGTGTTTTAACTTGGTAATTTCTTATCTTACTTACTTTGTCTATTTATGTTTCGTATTTATAGTTAATTTTTATTTTTATTAATATTATAGTTTTGGGTTTTTTGATCCTTTAACCACTTGTTTTTATTTCTTTTACTGCGCTTACCTTCTCATTGCTTTTTATTTGCTTTTATCTCTTAGTTTCTTACATCTTTTTAAATCTTTGGTCCTCTTGGTCTCAGCTCAGGTTGTTGGGTTCTTGTGTTCCTGGGTTCTTATGATGGTTCTTATGATGGTTCTTATGATGGTTGGGTTATATATGTCTGGTTGTGTATCGTGCACTTTGGGTTCTTTTCTGTTGAATTGTATTTAATTATTTTTGGTATTTTGCATCTGTTATATTCTTACTGTTGTTAATGTTTTTCTGTGTTTAGTTTAGTTTGCTTTTTTCTTGCTGTTTGTCAAAGCACTTTGTAAACCTATGTTTTTAAAAGGTGCTATATAAATAAAGTTATTATTATTATTATTACTCCATTCGCTCTGCAGTCCCTCTGCACCTTTAAGAAAAAGCTAAAGACCCAGCTCTTTATGAACACCTTCGACCTTCATGATGACGATGATATTTACAACAGTTATCAAAGCCAGAGATCCTTGAATCCTTCATTTTAAAGCTGTAACAGGACGTTACTGCAACATGTTAATCATTGCCATGGAAACACCGGATGTTACATCAAAGACCGCCATTAATGGGTGGGGAGTAGAAGGGAGAATAGCTCCCATGAAATCATCTTTTGTAATTGTTTTGATTGAGAGCCCCCTGGTGGTGGAATTGACTTTCCTTGCCATTGAGACGTTACAAAAGTTCAAAATAAAAGCCTAACTATTTTTATTTTTAAATGTGAAATAATAGAATTTCAAAAATGTGATTAAAATAATAATACTTTTGACACATCATGCTCCTGCTGTCTGTGAGCTGATCACCTGACTCACCTGTCTGTGTCCTACAGGTGGGTCTGAATCGGGTCCTGGAGCTGGTTGGTGATTTGCTGCAGTACCTGCAGGGCCTCCTGGTGGCGCTGGTGTACCGTGCAGAGAGCCTCAGAGAGCTGACCCTGAGCGGGGTCAAAGGTCAGGCTCTGATGCTGGTCGAGCTGCGTCCCGTCCGTCAGATCAGAGAGCTGCCACTGCACGTCCAGCAGCTGCTCGGAGACCTGCAGGAACTCTCCAAAATCCTCCTGCAGCTGGTGATCAACGCCACGCCGCTCTACAACCTGGTGAGGTCACACAGGAGACACAGCACGCCTGAAACACACCTGGAACACACCTGTTACATGACTGAAACACACCTGGAACACATCTGTTACGTGACTGAAACACACCTGGAACACACCTGGAACATGACTGAAACACACCTGAAACACACCTGTTACATGACTGAAACACACCTGGAACACATCTGTTACGTGACTGAAATCCCCCCTGCCTTGAATAGAAGTCTACTTTTAGATGTTTGGTGAAAAGTTACGTAAACTGAAACAGTTTTGATTGTTTATCCAAACTGGTTAGTCGGTTAACTCTAAATGAATTTTCTGCTTTTATGGTTAAAATGTCGGTTAGTTGAAGAAGTCGTGGTCAGAAATATGTTGGTTCAAGTTGGAGAGTATAAAACGGTATCGTCTGCATACAGCCGGATCTTCTCGATGTATTAAAGTCACTGAAAAGTCCAATCAGGGTTAATTTCCTGCTTTTGTTTATTCGACGATTCTGTTTCATGTGGACTCTGAGGGTTTGACGTGTTGTGTGTCAAAGCTTTTACTGAATGACTCCACCCACTTTTTAAAACCAATGAGAAGGGAGAACAGGAAATCAGCCAATGAAAGAAAATGTAAAAATGTTTTAGTTTTGGATTCGATGACTCGTGTGGTTTGGACTGTCAGGGTTGTTTTCAGGTGGACTGTTAGTGTCCTGCTGCATCCTGTCTTAATGCTAAGCTAGGCTAAACCTGTCCTGAAGCTGGAGACGTGTCCAGCTAACGACCCGACTGAATCCTCTGAAATATTCTGACTGATTTTTTCCATCTTTCAGCTGCAGCAGCCGTCGGCTCAGGAGGTTGAGGACTTCCTGAACCAGGAGGAGTTTTCTGCCAACAGTTCGTCTCGTCGCAGCTCCGCTAACAGCCTGTTCCTGAAGGCGATGGATGGCCGCCCTCGCCGTCGCAGGAGTCTCTACTCCCGCGCCGCCAAAACACCCGGAAGCGCCCAGAGCCCCGACCCTCCCAACGGCCGCCGCCGCTCCAGTGTGAAGGACGCCCCCACCCTGGAGGTGGAGGGTCAGCCAATCGCTTCCGACAGCGTGGTCGCCCACCGCCGGCCATCGGCCACCGAGCTGCTCCTCACGCCGCTCAAACAGTTCGTCACTCAGAGCCAGAAGGCCTTCGAGTACCTGAGCCCCAACTCCCCCGACAACGCCGCTGATGACATCGCAACAGACGACTATTAAAACCCACGTTGAGGTTCAACCCCCGACCTGATCCACTTCCAGTCCCGCCTCCTGACCAATCCCAGCCTTACGTCCAAGACCAACTGTCTCCGCCTCAGTTTGTGCGTTCACTTTCACCGACAAAGCGATTGGAAAATGTATCTAAATGTTAAAATGAACGAGTCCAAACCACAAATCTGACGTCTATATTTCACTAAATCTCCCATAATGCTTCACTTCCTTTCATATCAATGTCAGAGTTTGGTTTCTAATTTTAATGTCTCTTAAGAACAAATGCTGAAAACATGTTTGTGTGTTTATCGTAAATAAAAACTTAAATATTTACTGAAGTGACTCTTACTCATCTCATAGACTCATAGACTGTTAATGAGGATTGAGGTAGCCATCGTAGAGGTTCTTTAAAACTGTGTTCATTCTAACATCCAGCAGGGAGCGACACCTCCGATTCTATAGAGGTCTATGATAAAAGTTCTTACTTGTCAGCAAACATTTCTTTAATAAATTTATGATCTCAATCTGTGGTTTAAATTATTCTTCAACACAGCGTGATGTTCATTTCGTAAATTATGGTCCTATTAAAACTAAAGACCACCTGCTGCCTTGACAACCTGAAAAAAAGTCTTGTTAAGGGTTTGGTTGTATTTAAAGATGCTCTGAGGAGATGACTGTTAATGGTTTCAGTATTTTGTGAGAGGGCGAAGCTGTGGAGGAGCAAGGCCTGCCCTCTTGTCCAAATATGGTCACTTCTGATTTTAAGATTAGGAAAGGCAATGATGTTGATTCAGTAAATCTTTGCCCAATTAAAGTCAAAGAAACCAGAAAGAGGGGGATGGGTTAGAGACGGGGCTTTCTGTGATTGACAAGCAGCTGAAGGAAACAGAGCTTCATTATTGAGTTTTCACCACAGAGTTCAAAACATTGAGAGAAACGTCCATGAGATATTCTTTTGTCTTTTTTTTTCCTGCTGTTTGTCTGAAGCAGTTTTCATCAAAGGTTCTTTTTCTGTCCATCACACAGAGCGGTGTTCATACAGTCGGGTTAAATAAAGCTTGGTGATGAAGGTTTGGGTTGCAGGTTTTAGAACGATTCAGATGATTCTCCATTCAGAGTGTTTGACTTCATCTGAGGTTTCAATAGACTTGAAGAGTAATGATTTTAACTCAAGTTAGAAATCAGGACGTTCATTTTTTTTCATTGACAAATTAAGCTGTTTGTGTGGCTCTGTAACTCTAAACTGTGCTTCTCTCCTCTGTTCAAATAAAGCTTTGTGGACTCTGCAGCATCTCTGTGTTTGTGTCATGGACCAGCGGGTCCCAAACACCCCGTTTCAGCCGAGTGGCCTTGAGGGTAGGGGGACGACATCCCAAACCTTGCTGACCTTCTCTATCCCTCTGATGGGCGCTAACATCTGCACTGAGGATCATGCTGATGGAGTTGCAGCACTGACATCCTGCCTTTTCCTCTACCTTAAAAAACACATGAAACTTCCTGCTAAAAGGTCAAGGGTGGCTCAGGTGGGTTCAGTTCAGAACACATGGAAGCAGACACTGTGACGACTTGAGTTACATTTCCTCTCGCCGTTCCTCCTCTACTCGTGTTATCCCGAGCACACAGCAACGCAGGAGCCTCATTGGCCAACAGAGCTGTCAATCAGGATTTTTTATTTCATCTGTTAACTAATTAGACAGAAAAAACATTTGAGAACGAACCGTAACGACGAAACCACGTTTGAGAAACATTTATCTGACATGCGTTTTGATTTTAGTTTGACTCATGTCCCATCTGTTAACATGGAGGAGGCGGAGCTTATGATCTATACTGCCGCCAGTCAGCAGGGGGAGCTCTACATATTTTGGCTTCACTCCCAGACTGCTGACGCTCCGTCCATCTTTATGTCATCTATGGTTTTGTCCAACACATTTTAACGCCGACCTGATGGTGACTCTCCATCGCTGACTTGTTTCAGTCGTTGTCATGGCGCTAAATGCCCTGTTACATCTTTTCTGTTGTCCAATCAGCTCGAGCCGCCACAGACTTTTCTTTCTCTTCCTCTCCACCTGCGTCTGTCCATCAACACACACACACACACACACACACACACACACACACACACACACACACACACACACACACACACACACACACACAACACCACACACACACACACACACACACACACACACACACACACACACACACACACACACACACACACACACACACACACACACACACACACACACACACACACACACACACACACACACACACACACACACACACACACACACACACACACACACACACACAGTGCGAGGAGGGGAGGGTCTCTCACAGGTCTAACACTGGATCATCAAAGACTGCAGACAAAGTTAGAATATGGATATGGTTGGATTTTTACTAGAATCATATTGAATGTTAAGATTCTGGGGGAGACACGGCGCCTCCTGGAGGGCCGAGCAGAGTAGTTCAGCACGCCACGACCACAGAGAGAGCGCACAGGTGGAGCGACAGGTATGACAACAGGTTGTTTATTACACAAAATTATTCAAGTACAAAAAGAAATGAAAAACAAACATGCACGTGTGAGTCTGATGACTCAGCTGGCGAGCCTGAATCTTTGTCGATAAAGTTCGTGCATCAGCTGATAAAAAACGTTTTTTGAATGACCTGCAAACATCAAAACTGTGACGTTTAAAAAGTCTCGTCTCTCCTGTCAAAGGTTTAACACTGACTGAACTTCAACTCCCAGAATGCCTCAGCTGATGAAGCCACTGGGTGGCGTTTGTTTTGACCTTGAAGGAGGTAAAGTCATGTTGTCCGTCTTCCTCTTCTTGACTTCATTCAGGTCGGAGAAATCCCCGAGCCTCTTCCTCGCGTTCTTCAGCTCACACTCATCGTCGACCACCTCAATGACCTCTGACCCCTCAGACACCTGCTCCGTCTGTGACATCACAGCGTGCTGGGTGTGTGCGCGGCGCCTTGGACTATTAAGATCGGAGCTGAAAGCTTCCGTCACCTTGTTCTTAAAATTCTCCATCAGTGTGTTTACGCTGTCATCGTCCTGGAAACGAGACAACAGGAAGCACGACATCGATCAGCTGATTCATTTGAAAAACATCAGATTGTTTGTAAATGATCGTTTGTGATGTGATCATGACCTTTGATGTTGCCGTTGTTCGTACCCGTGCTGCGTCTTGCAAGAGCCTCCAGACGTCGTAGATCAGCTCTGCAGACGCCTCGTACTCCGGGTGGCGCCGCCGAGTCAGGCGCTCGGACATCGTCTTCAGACGAGACCACACCCAATCCATCTGAAACATAAACAACACACACATCAGACTGTTACAGCGCCACCTGCTGGAGGAAGTGTGCAAAACCTGAACAGGAAGTGTTAGCATGCTATGTTAGCGCTCTTTAGTTAGCTCGTAGCTTCTATAGCTGTGTCCTGCATTGTTGTGTTAGCATGCTAGTGTTAGCACTCTTTAGTTAGCTCGTAGCTTCACATTGTTGTGTTAGCATGCTAATGTTAGCGCTCTTTAGTTAGCTCGTAGCTTCACATTGTTGTGTTAGCATGCTAATGTTAGCGCTCTTTAGTTAGCTCGTAGTTTCACATTGTTGTGTTAGCATGCTAATGTTAGCGCTCTTTAGTTAGCTCGTAGCTTCACATTGTCGTGTCAGCATGCTAATGTTAGCGCTCTTTAGTCAGCTCGTAGCTTCACATTGTTGTGTTAGCATGCTAATGTTAGCGCTCTTTAGTTAGCTCGTAGCTTCACATTTCATGTAAACAGACACAGAATGAGCGTGATCTAAAAACTCTTACTAACATCCAAATAATCAGTGAGTATGTTCTTCTTCTTCTCTCTAGTTCTTGACTAAAACAGCTTTTATACACAAGGGGAGGAGCCGGCCGTCCCGTCCATGTAAACACGGCTCTGACAACAACACAGCCAGCAGGACTCGAGCTTCTCCCTCATTGTAGACAGTCAGGACTCAGAGACACATTTACACAGGACACACTTTATGATTTATTTATGTGGAACATGTTGATCATTCTGTCTTTAAAGCTTAAAGACGCACTGACCTTAGAAAGTAAAGAGCAGCCTTCGACCTTCAGGTAGAGCAGCAGACTCTCACACCTCTGTGAAAAGAACACAACACACAAGATCAACACCGACGTCACAATGACGAATCAGGAGAGAGAAAAAACACCAGAAAGGAGGAAACAGGGAGACATCATCAGACGTGTTTTTATCTGTTTTAAGAAAAAGAGTCTGAAGGTCAACATGTTTTCACATACCTCTAATGTGTGTGTGTGTGTGTGTGTGTGTGTGTGTGTGTGTGTGTGTGTGTGTGTGTGTGTGTGTGTGTGTGTGTGTGTGTGTGTGTGTGGTGGGGGGGCTCTGACCTTCTGGTCCTGCAGACTGAGATTCTCAGCTCTCTGTGGTCTGTCCCAGCTGTGGGGGTCTGAGGGGTCACTCAGGTCCTGACACAGTGAACAGGTCCACTCCATCCTGAGAGACAAAGAGGAGCGACAGTCAGACACACCGTTTCAAACTCTCAGGAAACCCGGAGAGGGTCTCAGGGGTCTATCCAGTGGAGAGTAGATATACAGTTGATGGTTTTTGGTTTCTGTCTCTTTTGAATCTCTATTCCTGAAACGGGAAATATAAATGAAGTGGAGATGCACCGATTGGGGAAATCAGGGTGATTGTTTCAGGACTTCTTTTGGTGTCAGACTCCCAGAATGCAACATGTTCTCTCATGTTTGAGTTTGTCCAACAGGTGACCTCGTCTCTGATCAGTCGTTATGTGTTCTAGATGTCAGAATTAAATTGACTTGGAACAACAATTAAAGATCTTCCACTGACGTCGGCTCATGCCACATTATTTGCCGACGTCAGTGACGATATCGTCCGATACCGAAGTTGACCCAATGCATCGCTAATGTAAAATGAGAGACTCCCTTTCTCTGTGCACTGTTTGGTTTACAGTCCAGTATTCAATGTGAGCAGCGACAGTGTTCAGATCAAAAGCAAAGTGAAACCGCCCCTTTCGGATACGTCTGCTGAACAAACGTCTCTCAGAGAGGCGCCCGTTCATCAGTTTCCTGCGAGTCTCAGTTTAACTGTAAATAATAAGTCACACAGAGGCCAAACTCTGGATCCCTTCAGACGTCTGAACCTGAGAAACAAACTGATCGATGATGTCATCAACAGATACCAGTTCATCAGCATAAACCACTGCAAATCCCACACTGCTCCTTTCTCCCAAGGTGTTCCCCAAGGTTCTGTACTAGGTCCCCTCCTCTTCATCATGTACATGCTCCCCCTTGGCCACATCATCCGGAGCCATGAACTCCAGTTTCACTGCTTTGCCGACGACATCCAGCTCTACATCGCCACCTCAGCCATCACTCACTCAATCCTCACTGAAATAAAATCTTGGCTTCAAACCAACTTTCTCAAACTCAACTGCGACAAATCAGAAGTCATTATCATCGGCCCCAAATCCCTCATCAAATCCACCAACAACTTCTCCCTCACCATCGATGGCTCTACAGTGCTCCCTTCCCCCCACATCCGTAACCTTGGTGTCAAAACAGCCTTTTACCACCTCAGAAACATTGCCCGCCTCCGCCCATCCCTCTCATTTTCAGCTGCCGAGACCCTCGCCTACACTTTCATCACCTCCAGATTAGACTTCTGCAACAGTCTCCTCTACGGCTCACCATCACACTCACTCAAGAAACTCCAATACATTCAGAACTCAGCTGCTTGTCTCCTCACACACTCCCGCACCAGAGACCACATCAACCCTGTTCTTCATGATCTCCACTGGCTCCCCATCCCCCCCAGTGTATCAACTTCAAAACTCCTCATCATCACCTACAAAGCCCTCCACAACCTGGCTCCTCCCCCTTCCTGTCTGAGCTCCTCCACCCACACTCTCAGGTCTGCGGATGCAAACCTCCTGTCCCCCCCCCTGCAGGACCAACTGATGTCCTGGGGGGGACAGGGCCTTCTCCATTGCCGCTCCCACCCTCTGGAACTCACTCCCTAAAAACAACAGAGACCCCTCCCCTCACTCACCTCCTTCAAGAAATCCCTAAAAACTCACCTCTTCAACACTGCCTACAACCACTAACCCCCCCCCCCCCCCAACATTACTTCTTCTTTGTACTGTCCTCGTCATTTTTGTATTTTTGTTTTGTTTTTTGGTTGTTTTTTTCCTTGTCAAAGCCTGCTGGTACTTGATTGGTCAGAACATTTTTCAAATAAAATACAGGCTCGGGATTCAGAGTCTACTATTTAAATAGATTCTGTAAATAAAGATTCTTGTGGGGGGCGGATCATTTAATAAATGAATAACTGTGTGTTGATTCTCACCAGATGTCACATCCAACGGTGGGAACGTGACAGTCTCGGTGGTATCCTCGACCGCACGCCGAGCAGATGATCGACCCGTTGGCCGATCCGCAGGCAGAGCAGCTGACGGTCTGCAGGGTCGGAGGAGAGTCTGGGGACGACAGCGGCTCTGTGTAGCAAACTGTGAAGTCATCATCATGCGACTGTGGCTTTGAGTCGTCATCTGTGACGTCATCATCTGTGACGTCATCATCTGTGACGTCATCATCGTGCGACAGTGGCTTTGATTCGTCATCTGTGATGTCATCATTGTGCGACTGTGGCTTTGAGTCGTCATCTTTGATGTCATCATCGTGCGACAGTGGCTTTGAGTCGTCATCTGTGATGTCATCATCATGCGACTGTAACCCAAGCAGAGAAATGTCACGTTAGCTACAAATCATTGTGTCATCCTGCGTTGTCAGATAATGAACTACAAAAACAATCTTTAAATGTGATGATTCATGGACGACCTACCTCAGAGTCCTCGCTCAGTTCTTCCAGATAAAACTCATCTTCAGCATCGCCAGGGACCAGAAGAAAGCTGGGAAGGGGACCCCCAGGTTTGGGCAGAGCGAGAGGCAGTCGGTCCAGAGAAACTCTGGGCTGCCATAGGCTCAGTTTGAAGTCCTGGCAGTTTGAAGAGCTCGGCTCCTCAGTGTCACTGTCCAATACTTCTGGTGTCGAGGGTGTCTCTGAAGGCTCTGGGTCTTCAGACACGGTGGATGTGGGCTCGTTCTCTGCAGGCTCCTGATGCCTCGGCGTCACCTGCTGCACACTGCTGTCACAGGCAGAGTCTGCCACTGCCTTCACCACAACACTGGGCTGATGGGGTTTCTCAGAGGAGGAGCAGGGGCTGATATCAGGAGAGGGTTTATCCTGCAGTGGTTGGTGTTGAGGTGTTTGTTTGCTGTCTGGCAATGGCTGGATGTCTGTGGTCTCACTGAGGACTGGTGACATTTGGTGTGCCAGCAACGGTTTTCGGTCTGGTAATTGTTTTTGATCTGCCAATGGTTCAACTTCTAGCGATGGTGGGTCATCTTGTGATTGTTTGGGGACTGCCGATGGTTGAACTTCTAGCGATGGTAGGTCATCTTGTGATTGTTTGGGGACTGCCGATGGTTGAACTTCTAGCGATGGTAGGTCATCTTGTGATTGTTTGGGGACTGCCGATGGTTGAACTTCTAGCGATGGTGGGTCATCTTGTGATTGTTTGGGGACTGCCGATGGTTGAACTTCTAGCGATGGTGGTTCATCTTGTGATTGTTTGGGGACTAGTAGCAGCATGTGTTTGAGTGGTATTGATGTGAGGACTCGCATCGGTTCATTTCCCTGCAACGGTTCAGGGTTTGGTGATTGTTTCTGTTGTTGCCACGATTGGTTTCCTGGTGTTTGTTTGTGGTCCCAAAATAAGTGGTTTTCTTGGCGTGGCTGGGGAACTTCAGTTTGTTTGGGGTCTTGCATTACAAGCTGTTTAAATGATGTGTTGCCTAACAATATGTGCTTGTCTGTCTTTAGTTTGCGGACTGGCAGTGAATCCCAGTCTTCTGTTTGTTTGTGGACTGGCAATGGTTGGTGGTCTGGTGTTTGTTTGTGGACTGGCAATGGTTGGTGGTCTGGTGTTTGTTTGTGGACTGGCAATGGTTGGTGGTCTGGTGTTTGTTTGTGGACTGGCAATGGTTGGTGGTCTGGTGTTTGTTTGTGGACTGGCAATGGTTGGTGGTCTGGTGTTTGTTTGTGGACTGGCAATGGTTGGTGGTCTGGTGTTTGTTTGTGGACTGGCAATGGTTGGTGGTCTGGTGTTTGTTTGTGGACTGGCAATGGTTGGTGGTCTGGTGTTTGTTTGTGGACTGGCAATGGTTGGTGGTCTGGTGTTTGTTTGTGGACTGGCAATGGTTGGTGGTCTGGTGTTTGTTTGTGGACTGGCAATGGTTGGCGGTCTGGTGTTTGTTTGTGGACTGTCAATGGTTGGTGGTCTGGTGTTTGTTTGTGGACTGGCAATGGCCGGTGGTGTTGTGTTAGTTTGTGGACTAGCAATGGTTGGTGGTCTGGTGTTTGTTTGTGGACTGGCAATGGTTGGTGGTCTGGTGTTTTTTTGTGGACTGGCAATGGTTGGTGGTCTGGTGTTTGTTTGTGGACTGGCAATGGTTGGTGGTCTGGTGTTTGTTTGTGGACTAGCAATGGTTGGTGGTCTGGTGTTTGTTTGTGGACTGGCAATGGTTGGTGGTCTGGTGTTTGTTTGTGGACTGGCAATGGTTGGTGGTCTGGTGTTTGTTTGTGGACTGGCAATGGCCGGTGGTGTTGTGTTAGTTTGTGGACTAGCAATGGTTGGTGGTCTGGTGTTTGTTTGTGGACTGGCAATGGTTGGTGCTCTGGTGTTTGTTTGTGGACTGGCAATGGTTGGTGGTCTGGTGTTTGTTTGTGGACTGGCAATGGTTGGCGGTCTGGTGTTTGTTTGTGGACTGGCAATGGTTGGTGGTCTGGTGTTTGTTTGTGGACTGGCAATGGTTGGTGGTGTTGTGTTAGTTTTTGGTTCAGTAATGGATGTTGGTCTTGCAATGGATGGTGTGCCAGCGATGGTACGTGGCGTGGTGTTTGTTGTTGTGGCGCACAGTGACTTGGTCCAGCAGTGGTCCCTGTAGTCCTTACAAAGAGTATTTGATTACTGCCGAGGTTCTGCTTATTTACAGCAGTGTGGTTGCTTGTCTCTCGTTTACTGGACCAAGCTAATCCAGGCTGGGCGTAAGAAAAATTCTGATTGAGCAGCAAAGGCAGCTGAGGCGTGCTGAAGGGAACCGTCATGCCTGACATCTGGTACGCGTTCAGAGCGTCGGCCAGCTGGACCAAGGAGGGCTGGTTCTGAGGGGGGGCGGTCTTCTGGTTCAAGACTACTGCGAGGACATTGCTGGCTGAGGGGGCAGGCTGTAGGACAAAGGGTGTACCCACAGGCTGGGGTTGACTTTTAGGCATCAACTGTTTTACGTTTGTGCCCGCGGTCTGAGCCGGAACCAGGACCGGGACCGTGGAGGTAGAAGGTCTGGCTGAGGAGGAGCAGTGGAGGGAGGTGGGGAGGGAGCATGAACTTGGAGCCGACGACTGAGCCGGGTCGTATGTGTTCTGAGGGGGAGGTGGATCGACGGAAAACGGGACCGATCCAACTTGAAGTTTACCTGCAAAAACAAACATGAAACTTCTTAAAGAAAAACTTCGACAACAAGCAGAAAAGTGATAAACAACGACTTCAGAAGGTTCATATTTTACAAGAGACGTCCATCAACGCGTGCATTTCAGTCACCTCTGTTTTTATCATTTAGTTTTTGTAACAACTGACCATCATGGAAATGTAACATCACTTTGACCTACCAAAGTTCAAAATGGCCTCCAGAGACGGTTTGTCGGTGATGACCTTCAGGTGAACCATGTTCTGAGGAGGATACAAGTCCTGAACAGGGAGCTTTTTTGTCAGAAACTGAACCTGCAGAGAGGAGACGGACCTGGTCACAAAGAGTCCATTTAACCCACAGCAGAATAAGGTTGTTGGATAGTCTGATGTTTTTTTGTAGCCTAAAGTTTTAAATGTTATGAACTTTGTGATTTTATAGATAATTTAAAAAAAACTTTCGATCTTCCTCCATATTTTAAACTCGGTGCTGATGTGAGAGAAAAGAGAGAGCACTGTCTAAATTGCACAAATATGCAGAAGTTAACTGCAATTTCTGTTGCCATGGTATCAAAACAGGTATTGATGTCGTTGGATTTGAACTAAAATCAAATCAAGGTCAAACGTCTGGTTTGTAGAATCAATCTTACTGTGTGGTATTTTAGGGGGAAGGGATCAAGGTTGTCATAGGTCCCTTTTTGTTCTTTTGTGCAATTTTACCACAAACTGTAATTATGAATGTTTGAAGCCTGAGTGATGTCACCCGTCTGTTCCTGCAGGGGGCGCTGGAGTCCCATCGATGGCGGTCTCCATGCTGGAAATGCTGTCTCAGTCTAACTTTCAGTCAACCTAACGACAGGCTGAGAGCTGGAGCTGAGCGCCCACCTGTCAATCAGGTCAGCTACACGCCTTATTGTGAATAACTCTTATCCTTCATCAAATCAAAACTGATGAGTCATCAAAACATTCACCCCCCGTACAGTGTGTGTCCATCGAGTCATGAGCTAATCACACCTATTTGGTTTTTTGAACCAGGCTGTAAACATGTTCATATCTGCTGTAAAAACAGGTTTTTTAGAATGGATGTGTATGTGACTTCCTGTGCTTCTGCAGCCAGCCTCTAGTGGACACTCCAGGAACTACAGGATTTTACACTTCAGCAACGGCTTCATTTTTAAACACTGGAGGTTGCTGCTTGGTCTTCTCTTATCAATGCATTGCATCTTGGGTTTTAGTACTTGAGTACCTGTCGCTCATGTGACCTTGTGATGGCCTACTCGTGGAATCTTCTTTAGGAACACGTTAATTTTACTGCAACGCTCCTGAGCCCAGGTAAGACAGAAAAAGCTGTTTGTAAATCAGGTAAGCAAGCCAGCAGAATGCTAATGCATGCATACGGTTTGTAACTCATCGGAATGGATTCACAAAAAGCTTTTTATATTTCTTTACCTGAGCCCTGCAGGGATCCATACAACACTGCAGGTGTGATGCTTACCTGAGCCCTGCAGGGATCCATACAACACTGCAGGTGTGATTCTTACCTGAGCGGCAAAGTGAAGCAGTTGGGACAGGTCTCTGTTTTTGGCTGCTTCTGCTTCAGCCAAAAGCATCTGTCGATGCTGCTGCATCAGCTTCAGCTTCATCATCCTCACTCTGATCTGCTGGCTCTCCTGCTCACTCACCTCCTGCTCAAGCACACAAACAACACACAATGAGGAGACACAACACACAATGAGCTCAAATATAACTTTTCTTTTTTTATATATAAGATATATAAGATTTATTTTTGTGCCTTCATTGTAGAGATAGGACAGTAGATAGTCAGAAATGGGAGAGAGAGAGAGAGAAAGAGAGAGAGTAGGGAACAACATGCAGGAAAGGAGCCACAGGTCAGATCTGAACCTGGGCCACCCGCTTGGAGGACTACAGCCTCCATCCATGGGACGCCACCAGCGCCTCATCAAATATCACTTTAAACAGTGACATTTCACTGATCTTCTTCTACGTAGCATCAATGCTGTTTTTTGTTGTTGATTCCTACTTTTCGACCTGAAATCACTTGAACACACTGAAATCGGAAGAACGACTTCCAAACTCATAAACTTGGATCACCCGACCAGCACCTGAATGCAGCATTAAGCACGGTGCGGGACAACTCTGCTAGTGTGATCTTGTCCTCAGTAAGGTTGCTGAAGACACGGGTGCTCGGAGCGGTACACTCTAACCCAATCAGAAGTGTCGGATGTTAAAAGCATGAGTGAACACCCTCACTGTGATGGGAACATTTGCTCTGCATGAGGAGAGTCGGCCCTGTGGGGGGGGGGGGGGGGGGGAATCACACCTCAGACATGAGGACCTCGATGTTCTGTCAGGAGAACAGAGCCTCAGGTAACACTCAGGTAACACTCAGGTAACACTCAGGTAACACTCAGGTGAGACCTGTGCATCTGATATTAGCAGCCACGTTTCACAACCTCTCTCTCTGCAGGACTCAGGACTGTGGATTAATATCTTGGTAACGTTTTACCAAGAAACAAAGGAACTGATCAATAATTTAAGTCTCCCTCTCAGACAGGCTCTGGAGGACAGAATATTATAAACTTTTACAACACCTTGAGTAAACAACCAAGCGGAAACACTCTGCTGTCTATGAATTGACCCCAAAGACCTGAACTGTGACCGAAACCAGTCTCTGCAAAGTCAAAAAAATTGACCATCTGTTGAAGGACTGCTGGAGAACTGATTAAACCACAGCGTTCAATTCTGCATCAAATGAACATTTATGTCTTTCTTCATCTAGATATTTGTAATTGTCACATTGAGTGTATTGCAATAATCTTTTTAAACTCAAAATCTGATGTTTAGAATACAAATAACAGTTACTATAGTTTTAATAGGAATTTGACGTGGAGCACTATTGCCATCTAGTGTTAGAATATCCATGAATACGTAACCTTCATAATTATACATTTAAACGTGTTATAAAGTATACTCTTTGATATTAGCTATAGAAGGTGTTATTATATCTACTTTATTAATATGTCTTATTAAGAATGTTGACTGTATAACATGTTTTTGTTCACCTACAGGCTGGGATTAACTGAGGATGTTCCCAGGTGGTGTGATTTTCATCTCAACATGAATCTGATAGAAATGTTTGTCTAAATATATGAACCTACATCAACGTGGATCTGAGAGAAAAAATATCGAAATGAATATATGGTGACGTATATATGTTTAGATTCTTATTCTTAATCTTATTCAGTAAACTCGCTTTCATTTAAACAAGAACAGAACTTTGTGTGTGTTTTCTGGTTTAAACATTTCTAGAATTTACTTCCTTCAAGATATGAAACTGACTGATTAATTAATTACGACAAGTAATATTAATGTCCTTTCTCTGTGAGGTGGTGTCCCGAGGTTTAAAAAAGATATGATATCTTAATAAATTAATTACGCTACACCTGTTGGATCCATGAAGAGCCAGGATCCAGTTGGACTGTTGGCTCTTTGTTAAGGTCCTGACACACCAAGGAGGCGGCAAAGAACTAGTGTTGACGAAGGCCGCCTCACATCTTGGCAAAAAAGTTGCACTTGAACACACCACAAAGACTACAGCCGATGGCCAATCACCACGTACGTTCTGCAGTGAGAGGAAGTAACTCTCCATGCCAGCAGGGGGCGGTAGTCTGTTGTTTATGATACAAGAAGACCATTTTCACACCGCTGTCGGTCACCTCTCGTATTATAGGTCGTCTACTAATGGAGTCTGGTAAAAAGTAGAAGATGGCGCTGGCGTTGTCAGCTCTTGGTCTTTTAGTGGAAAAAGAAAAGAAGAGGAGGAGGAGACAAATAAGGAGAAACCTCACTAATGGGTGAAAGCATGGAGACTACAGAGACATGCTCAAGAGGCTTTACTGAACCTGAGAGGAGAGCTGGAGAGAAATGAAACCTCCCAACAGCCAATCGGAGAGCTCCCTCTCAGCGACCATGTCAACTGACTCTGATTCAAGATGGTGAATCGGGTGAAAAAAGGTCGACGGTAGCGGCGGAGCCGGACACACCTCAAAAACGAGGGCGACGACCGCTCATCGACGGTCCGACCACCAACGACCTCCTCGGTGTGTCAGGGTCTTTACAGACGTCTATTATCAGAATTTTTTTCAGAAGTGGCGTAACTGATCTCAGCCGTCATCACGTCTTCGTCCGTTATATTGATTCCATGACGGCGTATCAAGCTGTGATATTTACGTCCCGGTGACGTTTGGCCCTACAATCTGAATTTGGTGGATTCATAATGGAGGGACAAAGTGACCCCCCCCCCCCCCCCGTACCGTCTTCAGAGGCGTTACAGAGGGGAGTCCGTTGCCATGGTGATGCAGTCTGACCCTGTGATGTAACAATAATAGACTGGACTAATAAAGTCCTGGACCTCTTACCTTGACCTTATTCAGGATCTCCTGAGTCCGGTTCTTCATGTGCTGAGTCAGGATGATGTGAGCCTGACTCAGCTCCGCCTCCAGCTGAGCCTCGCTCTCTGAGATGTCCCGCAGCCTGAAACACAACGAGAGAGATCAGCTCTCTGATTTAAGGAGGAATGAGCTCAGCTCTCTGATTTAAGGAGGAATGAGCTCAGCTGGTACCTGGTCTCCATGTCCTGCAGGCTCCGCCTCACCGTGTCAGTCTGCACTCTGAATGGATGAATCAAGTGGTCCACCTGCTTCTTAATTTTGTCCAATGCCTCGCTGATAAACTGATACCTGAGAAAAGGAGGAGGAGGAAGAGAGAGAGGAGGAGGAGGAAGAGAGAGAGGAGGAAGAGGAGGAAGAAGAGAGAGAGGAGGAGGAGGAGGAAGAGGAAGAAAATGTTACAGACTGCTACCTGCATGGCGTATTTTTGTTCGGCTAAGCTGAAAGTTATCATCGCGTCGGCTCCTCGACATTATACCTCTTTGGATTATAAATCTCAACATGTCCTTTTGTAAGACGTGAAACAGTTTCAGAAGTCACACGTGGGAGCGTCCAGATGTCGCAGAGAAAAAACATTAAAATCTCTTAAACTTGTTCCTACCTTATTGCGGCGTCGCTCTATGAGGCGGGGTCTTTAAGGAGTTATTATTGGTGTGATGTGTAACCATGGTAACCGTCTCTGTGTGTGAGCGAGGAGCCTGGAGCAGACGTACCTGTGGTTCTTGTGATCGATGAGCTGACAGTCCCGGCAGGTGACATGGTGACAGGTGAAGCAGAAGAGTTTGAGCGGCTCAGAGGGGTGGAGCTTGCAGTACTTTGTGGGCGGAGTCCTGATTGCGCCTGGTCACAGAAACAAAGATGACAGAGGATGGTCAAGAAGAGCGTTTAACATCACGCCGCCAGGAGCAGTTATGGTGTATGTGTGTTAGCGGTGTTCAGGCGCCAGTTTGCGTTTACGCCTCATACTCTGCTCGTTTGTGTTAAGGAAGCCATGGCGGACATCTGAGGACGGGGGGGGGGGGGGGGGGGGGGGGGGGGCTAAGAGACCCGATGAGGACACGGACGAGGACTGGGGATCTTTCAGGGTCACCAACTGCAGGACTGCAACTAGACTCACTCAGAGATTATTACTCAGCAACTACAAACTGAAAACCCAGAAGGAAGAGAAACCATGCTCCTCTCTGTAACCATGGAGACGATCAAACTGGACTCTCTAGAGGAAGTCGTAACAGACGGTCTGCAGGAGGATCCTCACAGCTGACTTCAGCAGACTCAAAGGGGATTTTTAAAAGCCGCAGCACTTTGTGCCCTCCTCTCTCGTGATACCAAGTGGAGGACTCGTCTTTCTCTCTTTTCCACGGTCCAAATGAACCGCACAGCCGGTCTCGGCCTTGGTGCTGGCGTGGTCACTCCTATCTGTCTTTTTATTGAGTTTTAATAAGAGCAGACTAAGGAGCTGTGATCATATGAAACATGTTTAACACTAATAATACATATATAAAGAAGAACCAGAGTTGATCAGGTTTCATCAGATTGTGGGATGTTTGAGAGCTGAGAGGATTCAGGAGCTGCTGGAACCTCTATGAGATGTTTGAACTGATTTGAACTGTTCTTAATGAAGTCTCAGTGGATCGTTGTCAGGAGCTGCTATTTGAACTGTTCTTAATGAAGTGTCAGTGGATCGTTGTCGTACCTGCAGGCGGCTTGTCAAGGATCTGGTGAGATCTGGTGATCGTCACTCTGCGATGAGCCGACAAACAGCTTCCACACAGAGCTTCACTACAGTCCACACACCAAACACAGGAGGAGGAGCTGTCACAGCTGCAGCACTGAGGAGACGAGGAGGAGGAAGATGAAGAGGAGGAAGAGGATGAGGAGGAGGAAGAGGAGGAGGAGCTGTCACACTGAGGAGAAGACGAGGAGGGGGAGAGACGAGGAGGAGAGAGGAGGAGGAGGAGGGGGCGAGAGGAGGAGGGGGACAAGAGGAAGAGGAGGAGGAGGGAAGAGGAGGAGGAGAGATCATACAGAGAGGGGAAAGAGGGCAGAGGGGATAGGAAGGAGAAGGAGGAGGAGCAGAGAGGAGGTGGACAGGAGGAGGGGAAGGAGAGGAAGGATAGATGTAAGGGAGGAGGAAGGTAAGTGAGGTGGGCAGGACAGTATATTTCTGATCTTTTTGTTTTGTAACCCTGGCGGTCCTATGAGACTTTGACTTACCTGCATTCTCAAAGTGTTTCCTGGTGCGGCTGGCGTCTCCATGGTGAGGAGGTGAGAGGTCGTATCCTGGAACACAGAGACAGACGAACGTCTTAATGTGAAACACCAACAAACAACGTCCCTGAAACCTGTAAAGCCAAAAGGAATCTTAATGATCCAAAGTTGAAGTCGTTTGATTCGTCTCCACGCTTCATCTCGAGGATCAAGTTCACCGTGTGGTCGTGTTTCTGGACGCTCCTCCTTCACCCTCTTTCCTCTTTCCTCACATCAGAACCTGAACGTGGTGTGGACTCTTCAGAGTCCTCACTAAACCCAACCAGCACAGTTCGTCTGTAACTTAAGTTGAGTCAGTGTTTGGTTACCATGGAGACGTAAGGTTCATCATCTGGTTCTAGTAGCTCCAAACTGACCAAAACATTGTGTCAGAAATTAGATTTAAATGTGAAGGAGGACGAGGTCTGCAGGAGAGCAGAACCAGAGTATCGGGGTTTTGTGAAATGTCACAGGAGGATTTGAACGGGGTTATTTACTTCAGGAAGCACAGTTGAGCTCATTAGGGGAAATTATTTTCACTCATCAGTGCGCAGGTTAGTCGTTATAAACCCGCCCTGAACACATCGATGATTTAAAATGTTTTTTTTTATTAATTTAGTGGAAAAATACTATCTGTCTGTCGTCCTCATTTGAACTTAAAAGATTAGGATGTTCGTGCGTCATTTAGCAATTAAAAACTGTTTCTCTGTATGGCTTTGGTCTGTATCTCCAACAGGAACACTCCTCAGGATCTGGGTACAGCATGATCCTAAATCAGTTCCCTCTGAACAAAGGACTTTCTGTTGGTGTTAGATAAATCATCAGGCAAGCTGAAACCAATGACGATGTATCACTCATAAGTAGAGGAACTTGGGCCCCTAAAAGTTGAGATACCCCTTATGAACCCCTTTATGAAACGGATGGTTGTATAAAAATATTTAAAAAATAAAAATAACTTTTTTTGGATGTTTTATGCATCTTACCAAAAAAACGAAAATAGGTCAAATTAGGGCTTCTCCAAATGGGACAGCTCTAGCCTTATCACATGTATCTCTGGGAATCAGAATTTCACCAAATTTGGACAGGATGTTCACAGATAGTTATTAGTTTCAATTATGCAACATTTTTATCAATACCATTTTCAATTTTTGAATTTTTCACACTTAAACACACATGTAGTTTAGGCGGAAATTAAAACAAAAATTCAAAAGGTATGTATATCAAAGTCTGTCATTTTTTAAGTAAGGACACCAAACATTAAAATATGTAATTTGTATCTTCTTTAAACTGTTATCTCAACACAAAAGCAAGTTATGTGACTTTTCACTTGACCCTATGCTGTCACCAGCCCCTAACAGGAAACTAGTGCAGCCAGGATTTCAGGGCGACCTGGTCTTGATTTGGTTGTGATGTCTTGATTTAGTTATGGTGTCTTGATTTAGTTATGGTGTCTTGATTTAGTTATGGTGTCTTGATTTAGTTATGGTGTCTTGATTTAGTTATGGTGTCTTGATTTAGTTATGGTGTCTTGATTTGGTTGTGGTGTCTTGATTTAGTTATGGTGTCTTGATTTGGTTGTGGTGTCTTGATTTGGTTGTGGTGTCTTGATTTAGTTATGGTGTCTTGATTTGGTTGTGGTGTCTTGATTTAGTTATGGTGTCTTGATTTAGTTATGGTGTCTTGATTTAGTTATGGTGTCTTGATTTGGTTGTGGTGTCTTGATTTAGTTATGGTGTCTTGATTTAGTTATGGTGTCTTGATTTGGTTATGGTGTCTTGATTTAGTTATGGTGTCTTGATTTAGTTATGGTGTCTTGATTTAGTTATGGTGTCTTGATTTGGTTGTGGTGTCTTGATTTAGTTATGGTGTCTTGATTTGGTTATGGTGTCTTGATTTAGTTATGGTGTCTTGATTTGGTTGTGGTGTCTTGATTTAGTTATGGTGTCTTGATTTAGTTATGGTGTCTTGATTTGGTTGTGGTGTCTTGATTTAGTTATGGTGTCTTGATTTAGTTATGGTGTCTTGATTTAGTTATGGTGTCTTGATTTGGTTATGGTGTCTTGATTTAGTTATGGTGTCTTGATTTAGTTATGGTGTCTTGATTTGGTTATGGTGTCTTGATTTAGTTATGGTGTCTTGATTTAGTTATGGTGTCTTGATTTAGTTATGGTGTCTTGATTTGGTTGTGATGTCTTGATTTAGTTATGGTGTCTTGATTTAGTTATGGTGTCTTGATTTAGTTATGGTGTCTTGATTTAGTTATGGTGTCTTGATTTGGTTATGGTGTCTTGATTTAGTTATGGTGTCTTGATTTAGTTATGGTGTCTTGATTTAGTTATGGTGTCTTGGGAACAGAATGTAGACGTTTAATTACGTGCACGGAGATCGTAGAGGTCGCGGGCAGACACTTTAGACAGTCACTATATAAACGTCATTCTCTTTCTATTGGATGAAAATGAAAATCTCCGGAGTATATTCGGCCGCGTTCAGACTCACTCAGATATTCTGTGGATAATACACTAGGGGTCGGATAAACTCTGGGTAAAGTCCGCGCAAAAAATGTGTCTGTTTGCGTTCACACATAGCCTAAAGAACCTCCAGGTAGCCAAATCTCTGGAGTTTTTCAGGAGATTTCTGTATGTGTGAAAAGGGTTATAGAAGGACAGTGATATTTAAATACAGAATTTCACAGAACCACATCTATTTCCTTTTTGGGACCCAGAACAGCACCCCTCCATACAACTTCCATATTTGGTAATTCTCCAACACAGGGCCCCAACGCATACATTCCACTTTGGGGGGCCCTATACCGGTCTCAGATACAAACACTTTCCAGATGTTGTCTGACACATTGTAAGAAGGAGCAGCACTGACCTTTATCCCATATATCAGACACCTCAGCTGTATGGGAGAGTGCTGTCCTAAGTCTCAAATACAGGAAATGAGGTCCTTATGTTGCTCTGTGAAATTCTGTATAAATATCGCTCTCCTACTACGAGAGAGAGAGAGAAAGATCGCTATTGGCTTCACGTCTCTGTGGGATACAGTAAGAACAGTACAGCTTACCTGGTTTACAACCCAGAAATGGAAAAGGTACAGAAACACAGAACAGTGTTGAACAACAGACACAAACAAACAAACGTGACTCAGAAATACAGACATATGAACACAGAAAGTCTGACAGTGAAAACAATGTTGATGTGCCCCAGGACGAAGATAGCACAGAAAATCAGGTATTACATGAAAATAAGGAGCATGCAGAAACAGATGATACAGAAGTATCAGAACTTAAAGAGAATACAGATGAGGAGGAAAAACAAAGCCAAAACAAAGGCTATCCAAGGAGAGAAGATTACACTTCAAACTGTAAAGAGGATGATTATTGTTACAGGGCAGTATGTGGAGTTCCACAAACTTATAGTAAAGCCCTGAAGTCTCCAGAGGCGCTTCGATGGAAGCACGCCATGACAGAAGAGATCAACTCACTTAAAGAAAACGACACATTTGAACTGACACCATTACCTAAAGGTAGAAATACAGTAGGAGGAAAATGGGTATATGCCCTCAAAGAACATGCAGAGAATGGAAAAATCTTTAAAGCTAGACAATGAGATAAGGAAAAATGTAGAGAAAGGATACAGTCAGACAGAAGGAATAGACTATCAGGAAACAGCAAACATTACAGTAGTTTGAGTGCTGATGCAGATAGCGGTTCAAAATGACCTCATCATACATCAGATGGATGTTAAGACGCCATATTTGCATGCCCCAATACAGAAGAACTCTTCTTGGAACAACCAGAAGGTTTCAGAGTAACATCAGATACTGAAGAAAAATTAGTATACAAACTAAAGAAATCGCTTTATGGCCTGAAACAATCTGGGAGAAATTGGTACTAAATGATTATCTAGAGCAAAATGGGTTAGTAAGAAATCCAAACGATCACTGTGTTTACAGACAACAGACAGAAAAAGGTACCATTCTTGTCATCATATGGGTGGACGACATGATCAATGCAGCCAGTGATAATGATCTGTTGACCAGATTCAAAGATACTCTGAAATCTAAATTCAACATGAAAGACTTGGGGGAAATATCATATTTCCTTGGAATACAGTTTGAGCAAAAGAAAGGAGAAATCAAAATGAACCAGACAAATTACATCAAAAAGATGCTAGAAAGATTTGGAATGTCAGAATGTAAACCAAGGTATACACCAATGGAACAAAAATGAGACCGTTAATCCCAAAGAGTATGGTGATATTGTGGGCAGTTTGATTTATGCCATGACTTGCACCAGTTAGTAAACTATCTCAAACACTGGCAAATCCAAAAGCAGAAGACTTGGTGGCTGCTAAGCATGTGTTAAGGTATCTCAAAGGCACAAATGACTATGAACTGTGTTTTAAGAAAAGCGAGGAAGATCTGAACCTGATTGCATTCAGTGACTCAGATTGGGCATCGTCTGTGGAAGACAGACGTAACACTACAGGTTACTGTTTCAGCCTAACAAAACAAGGAAATCAAGGAGACAGCCCACAGTGGCTCTGTCAGTGGTGGGTGATATAACAATCTTAGATCGTGAAGGATTTTTTGCTCCGCAGCGGTGAAAACAAAACTTAAAAGTAAAGTCTGCAAAAACAACTCCATCTCGGTTATATGCAAATGTTCTGATATGTTTCCAAACCGACACGCTGTGAGCAACAGTTAACTTCTCTGCATAGTGTGCACAGTTAAGTTTACATCTCGGAGAGCGACACAAGAAACCGTTTAAGGAGCCGGAGAGACGTTAACAGTCTGCAGAGAGTCAGACAGAGAGGAGCTCAGACAGACAGTGAGGGGAGATATAACCCCGGTGTTTCAAATGTTGCTGTCGGTGTTTTCTGCTCTCTCTCAGTTTTTAAAAGTTACTTATCAAGCTTCTCCACCTGAAGCTCACCTGTTGTGATAACTGAACCTATAGGGATTACACTAAACGACGTTACAAAGCAGCAGGCAGGTGAGAGTGAGTAACCATGGTGACTGTCTGTCTGTCAATCAACAATGTCCCGCCCCCTCTATGAATTCAACTCTTCTGTCAGTAAAACTTACTTTGATCATGTGTCACAGAATGAACACATTCTGTATTATGTTTGATTATATATAAACTAAACTAAAGTTAGTCCAATGATGTCATAAAAACAACAAAGTCTGCAGAGCCTGTATGAAGCTCCAGCTGGAGGAACTCTGCAGGGCTAAAACAGAACAGAAACACAAGAACTCAAAGTCTACATGTTTTTAAATGAATGCATCACTGTGTGAAAATGTTCCTGATGAACATAAAAAGAGGACACATAACTAAATCATCATTTCAAAGTGGTGAGGAAAACCTTCAAATTGTTCATAAATATTGATCAAATTGAGAGAAAGACATTTCTGTTGCTAAAGATGTTCTGGGTGAGAGACCTCCAGACCTCCTACAAAGATGTTTTTCAAATAGATTAAACTTGTCTGCACAGTTTTTGTGCATTTAAAAACATTATACAGGGAAATAAGTTGAACTGGTCAGTAACTTACAAATCTGTCTAAAGATCAGTATGAAAAAAATCATGAGATGATATTTTTCCCATATCGCCCTCCTCTACATAAAGTTTTTTTTTTTTTTACCAGAATCCCACTGTGACATCACAAGGAGAGCACATTAGAAACAGAGCTTCTCTGTGTTGTAAGACTTCTGCAGACCACAAACAAAGGACTGGATGGTTTACTTCACATGTTGTGGGTCAGTAGACTCTCAGGTTACAGGTAAATGTTCAGAAACACAAAGTGGATTCTTCATCATGTGTCCCCTTTAAGGGTCTTCACAGCCCACTCCTCAGGCTCACGCGCTGCTGCTGTGATACCCCCCGGTCACATGATTTACCTGCTCATCTGTCGGAGTGAACCACAGCCTGAGAGGTGATGCTAAGCTAAGCTAGCTCTCGGTACAGTAACTCACCGTGTCATCGGTTATGTTCCTTCCGGTGACGTCATTATTCCGGTGTTTGCTCGGTAGTTTCTTTACTCAGTGAAGTTAATGTTTGAACTCTTTCCGCTGAGTTAAAGAAGAGAAACTCTAACGAAGACTTCTTCTTCTTTGTCTCTATTTTCCTGCAGATTGTGGGCGGGGACTTATTCTTCTTCTTTGTTTTGAGCTTAAAGCAGCTCATACGGGCATTACCGCCCCCTGCTGGACTGAGTGTAACAGTTCTTATCAAAGCTGTTTTGTTCTTCTTAGTTAAAGATTGACTCGGGTTATTTCTTATCTTGTTTCTCTTAAATTGATGATAAAAGGATTCATTTCTGACACTGCTGATGTTTCTTCTTCTTCTGAATATTCACAGCGTTATTTATTTGAGTACGATCTTTCACCATCAAACAGAACAAACATGACTGAAACAAACATCAAACGTGCTGCAGTACATGAACCAAACAACTCACATTCAGAAGACACTGCAAATCACCTGGCCTGTAGGGGGCGCTCTGTGGGACAGGTCATTATTGACATGAAAGAGAGAGAGTGACAGAGAGAGTGACATGAAAGAGCCAGACTTTGGAGGCTGGGGGGTCAGGACGGGGAGGACAGGGGGGTCAGCGACGGGGTCAGGACGGGGAGGACAGGGGGTCAGGACAGGACAGGGGGTCAGGACGGGGAGGCGACGGGGGTCAGGACGGGAGGACAGGGGGTCAGGACGACGGGGTCAGGACAGGGAGGACAGGGGGTCAGGATGGGGAGGCGATGGGGGTCAGGACGGGGAGGACAGGGGGTCAGGACGGGGAGGCGACGGGGGTCAGGACGGGGAGGCGACGGGGGTCAGGACGGGGAGGACAGGGGGGTCAGGATGGGGAGGCGATGGGGGTCAGGACGGGGAGGACAGGGGGTCAGGACGGGGAGGCGACGGGGGTCAGGACGGGGAGGACAGGGGGGTCAGGACGGGGAGGCGACGGGGGTCAGGATGGGGAGGACAGGGGGTCAGGACGGGGAGGACAGGGGGGTCAGGATGGGGAGGCGATGGGGGTCAGGACGGGGAGGACAGGGGGGTCAGGACGGGGAGGCGACGGGGGTCAGGACGGGGAGGACAGGGGGGTCAGGATGGGGAGGCGATGGGGGTCAGGACGGGGAGGACAGGGGGTCAGGATGGGGAGGCGATGGGGGTCAGGACGGGGAGGACAGGGGGTCAGGACGGGGAGGACAGGGGGGTCAGGACGGGGAGGCGACGGGGGTCAGGACGGGGAGGACAGGGGGTCAGGACGGGGAGGACAGGGGAGTCAGGATGGGGAGGCGACGGGGGTCAGGACGGGAGGCGACGGGGGTCAGGACGGGGAGGACAGGGGGTCAGGACGGGGAGGCGACGGGGTCAGGACGGGGAGGACAGGGGGTCAGGACGGGAGGACAGGGGGGTCAGGACGGGGAGGCGACGGGGGTCAGGACGGGGAGGCGACGGGGGTCAGGACGGGGAGGACAGGGGGTCAGGACGGGGAGGCGACGGGGGTCAGGACGGGGAGGCGGCGGGGGTCAGGATGGGGAGGACAGGGGGTCAGGACCGGGAGGACAGGGGGGTCAGGACGGGGAGGACAGGGGGGTCAGGACGGGGAGGACAGGGGGGTCAGGATGGGGAGGCGACGGGGGTCAGGACGGGGAGGCGACGGGGTCAGGACGGGGAGGCGACGGGGGTCAGGATGGGGAGGCGACGGGGGTCAGAATCTTTACTCTCAAAGATCCACACTGCTCCGTTCTTATGACACAGCAGATAAATATCAGGAGAACCATTTCATTATTCATCGTGTCTGACGGCGTTTCCAGAGACGATTTGTTTAGAGAACATGCAGAGCTCCAGCCGAGTTTTCATAATGACCGTTTTAATCAAATCAACACTGAGCGGCTTCAAGTGCATGACAACAGCACTGCGATTATACAAAGTCAGGCAGAGACGAGTTTTAAACAACAGAGCAAGAAAAACAGAATCAAATCCAGAATATTTATAAAATGACACATTTGTGATGATGTTTTCTCTTTGTCCACAGGGGGCGCCAAAATCAACACAAAACGAAAGTTCCTCACAAGCTTTTTAAAAATGGAAAAATAAAAGTGTTTTAAAAAGTTTTAAAATCTCTTCAGCGTGAGAAGACGGGAAACAAAAGGATGGCCCCGAGCAATGAATAAAGAGACTGCTGCTCTCTGATTGGACAGACAGTCCCACCTCAGGTAACCTCACCCAGGATTTGTTTTGTTTTTTCTCACATAATAAAAACCTTCACTTTTGTTCTGACAGGATGATGATATCGATGTTATTTGTCTGTAGCGTGGCCTTCCTCCTGCGTCGCTCTTCTGACCTCATTTACCTGAGACTCTGGTCGTCAGGTGTTTGGGTTTGCATGAAATATAAAGCTTTAGATTTGAATGAATCATTTGAGCGGAGTCAGAATGATGCTTATCATCATTTAAACTAACGATGATGATGATGATGAGTGATGGACAGGTGAGACGTGCAGCTGTACGATGGGCGGGACTCTGAGGATTATAAGACAGACAGGTGAACAGGTGAGCGCGGTGAGAAGCTCGATGTTCACCTGTCTGGTATGTTTTTCACTTTTTGATCAAATCTTCATTAAAATCTCTGTTTTTTATGCAAACTTTTCCTGCTGCTTTTTTTTGTCCTCTGAAAACCTGCAGACGGTTTTCTCTGTTTCTCTTTTCCACAATTTGACCCAAATAATTAATAATTTTATTATGTTGATTATTGAATATAATACGCATGCATGAGTCTGTGTTTCAGGTTTTCTTTGTTTGTATTAGTATTTTTATTTTATTTGGTTTGATAACACCACAAAAGGCAACAATCAAAAGGTTCATTATCACTCAAAAAGATTTAAAAGGTTTAGCTGTGGCGACTTTGTGATCTCACCCGGACCCAGAGAGTGATTCACACCTGCTGAAAACTCCTGAAGTGTTTTCACTCTGAGCGTCATGTGATCACTCAAACATCTGAATGTTTCTCTCTTCACTCTGAGCGTCATGTGATCACTCAAACATCTGAATGTTTCTCTCTTCACTCTGAGCGTCATGTGATCACACAAACATCTGAATGTTTCTCTCTTCACTCTGAGCGTCATGTGATCACTCAAACATCTGAATGTTTCTCTCTTCACTCTGAGCGTCATGTGATCACTCAAACATCTGAATGTTTCTCTCTTCACTCTGAGCGTCATGTGATCACTCAAACATCTGAATGTTTCTCTCTTCACTCTGAGCGTCATGTGATCACTCAAACATCTGAATGTTTCTCTCTTCACTCTGAGTTTCATGTGATCACTCAAACATCTGAATGTTTCTCTCTTCACTCTGAGTGTCATGTGATCACTCAAACATCTGAATGTTTCTCCTCCAGCCTCCTCGTATTTATTCTGCAGAAAGTCAGAGTGAGCTGATGTGAGAACACAGCAGGATATAATCAGGAGAATTCACCTGGAGCCAGTGGGAGGGGCCAGTGGGAGGGGGTGGTGACCTTTATTCCCTGTGATCGCTGCGCGACCATAGACTGTCTGCACGCCACCTCTACCATCTCCGTGCTCTAATCAACCTGCTGCTGCATGTTTCCTGTTCTCCAGGATGTTCTTCTCCTCTCTTTAGTGTGTCTACAGTCCTCCTGATGTTATCTAGATATTATCTGGAGTGAAAACAGCTTCACAGTATTGTCCCACTTGTAATGCTGGAGCATGACTACAGGTCTGTTACAGAGACATAAAAGCTGCTTTGCATCCTGAGATAAGGCATGTGACACCTCAGTGTCTGTCGACTTCCTGTTGTTAACAGAGGAGCAGACATGAAGCTGCAGACTTTGATAAATGAGGAAGTGAAGTTCCTGTGGGGGTGGGGCTCTGTTTCCCTCAGCACAAAGGGTCCTAACATTAGCCAGTTAAATCAGTTTAATTCATTTGTCAGACACTTTTATCCAAAGCGATGACCATCAGAGAGTAAGAACAACACAAGCACACAGCTGCTGACAGGAAGTGACCCAAGGCTGAGCACTTTTTATATATAATTAAAGGTGACATATCCTCCTCCTCTTCAGTTTAAATAATTCTCAGAGCTCCTCAAAACATGTGTGTGAAGCTTCTTGTTCTAAATCCACTCTGATCCTGTATTTGATCATGTCTATAAACCCCTCTATTTCAGCCCTGCTCAGAACAGGCTGTTTCTGTGTCTGTACCTTTAAATATGTAAATGAGCTGTGTCTGACCACGCCCCCTCTCTGGAAGGGCTTGGGTGCTAAAGCTGCTTGTAAATGTTTTGTTGGATAAATAAGAAGAATAAACATGCATCTTGTCTTGTGTTGGCAGCTTGTCACCATGAGGAGAGGAGGAGTGATCTGTTTGCTGCTCACAGGTAAACTCACCTCCATCACTGGGATTCAAACTAAAACTTTATCAACAAATAACTAACCGACAGAACAGGCACAGGCACAGGCACAACACTCAGGCTCGTCAATGACCGGTGTGCAGTGAGCTGAATAAAGTTTTTCTCCGGTGTTGACACAGGTCAAAGGTCAACATTTCAATTATAGATGTGGATATTATTTATGAACCACTATCTCCACTTTGTACAACCAGCTAAAAGCTAACAAGTTAACGAGCTCTGCTGAGGGTGGAGAAAGAGTGTCAGTGCCTTGAAGAGCCGCCTTCTTTCTCGTTCCTCGTCCGTTTATGCGAGTGACAGAGAGGACAATACGTGCCATCGGGGTTAAAAATGGCACGCCATGTCGTACTTCTTGGTGCTACGTTCAGACACTGAAACAGAAATGATTAGAGTCAATCTGTTTTTGTCTCTGACACTCGTTGCATGCTGTTGGGACGAACTACTAAAAGTGGTGCATTTTCATTTGCATAATTATGGGCGTGGTTTGATTGACAGCCGTAAGGAGGCTTAAGCCCCGCCTCTGCCCCACCTCTTTGTCTGTTTCTAGATTGATCTATAAAGTAGAGACTTCCTGTCCACGCTTACTAGAACAATCTGAACTTGTTGTTGAAGACGTCTTCATAACTTGAATCAGAGATGAAACACAGACTTTGTCCTGATTGGTCCTCTGTCCCTCCAGGCTGTGTGTCCGTCTTCAGCTCACGTTTCCGACCCGTCCTCTCTCCAAAGACCTGGACCGCGGCTCAGCGTTACTGCAGGGAGCAGTTTGCTGACTTCGCCATTATCAAGGATGAAACAGACGGCCGAGAAGTGAAGGCGCTGCTGAATCAAGGAAAGTTCTGGATGGGTTTGAAGTACACCTGGAGATGGTCTCAGGGTGGTCAGGAACAGGGGTTGCTGAAGTGGGCCCGGGGGGAGCCAGGTAATGGTGTCTGTGCGACCGTATCGCCACAGGGCTGGGGTTCCAAAGCCTGTAGGAGTCGACATCAGGTGCTCTGCTACAGCGGTGAGTCTCATTCTTCTGCACTGACACAGAACTAAAGATCTCCTCCTCATGCTCTCCTTCCATGTTGTCAGTGTGTGAAACCTACAGACACACTTGAGGTCCTCTCCTCTCCTCTCCTCTCCTCTCTCCTCTCCTCTCCTCTCCTCTCCGTTTCCGTTTCCGTTTCCGGTTTCCGGTGAGTGTGAGTGTGAGTGTGAGTGACGGTGGTGGTGTTGCGAGTGGCACGGAGATTGAATTGTTTGCTATCCTTTCTACTGTTTTCAAAGTGCATGATCAGGTCAGATTGTTTTCATATTTGTATTGAGTGTTGTTGGCTGTATAAGACAGATCGTTGGAGGGGTTGGAGGGAGGAATGGCGTCTGCTGAGACGCCACCTCCGACTCTCGGACAGGGAGTTCGGATAGTCCCTCCGAACGGTACTGTCACCTTGGAGGAGGTTCTGTTAGCTGCAGGTGAACAGGTAGGCCATGATAAACTCTTGTATGCATCCCGAATGAACAAGGCTGTGGTTGTTTTTCTGAAGAGTGAGCCTCTTGTGTATCAGCTGATTGAGAGTGGTGTGTTCATTAGGGATTTGTTTGTACAAGTTTCCCCGTTGTCGGTTCCCTCTACGCGGATCACCGTATCCGGTGTTCCGCCGTTTATTTCTAACAACTTGTTAGAGAACGAACTCCGCAGGTTTGGGAAGTTTGCGAGTGGTTTCAAAACTGTGAGTCTAGGGTGTAAAGATCCCAAACTGAAACATGTCCAATCTTTGCGGCGTCAGGTGTTCATGTTTTTGGATTCGCCCACACAGACTCTGGAGGTTTCCTTTAGAGTGAAACACGGTGACGCTTCTTATATGCTGTATGCGAGCTCGGGACAACTGAAGTGTTTTGAGTGTGGTGATGTGGGACACAAACGTTTTGCGTGTCCGCACAGACAGCAGGAGGCGGCTAGTGCTGCCGCTGACGCGGGCGGCTCTGTTAGTGTGGCGCATGTGGTCGGGGCCGCGTCCGCGTCCGCGCCCGGGGCGGAGACCGCGTCCGCGCCCGGGGCGGAGGCCGCGTCCGCGCCCGCGCCCCGGGGCGGAGACCGCGTCCGTGCCTGTGGCAGAGGCCGCGTCCGCGCCTGCGCCTTGTGCTGAGGCCGTGGCTGAGGTAGAAGTGGCTTCGACCAGCTCTCAGGCTACAGAAAAATCACAGACTGTAGATAATGATAAAACTGAAGATTCCACAAGTTCTGCAGTTGTAGATGTTTCATTGAAGGAAGGTAAGACAGTGTGTTGTAGCCAGGCATCATGTGAAGGAGAGGACATGGATGAAGATTATGAGTCAGACA